ACAGGCGGTGCTCGGCCACCCCGCTCCCTGCCAGGGACGCTCTGAGGGCCGCTGGCTGGGTCTCAGCCCGAAAGACCGGGCAGGACGGGGGTGCGGGACAGGCCCCCGCCTCCCAGCACGTTCTCCTCACCTGCCCCCCCCCCCGACTGGTAAACGATGGAGGGAGGGAGCCCTGCCCTTCAGTGTGACTCCGTGGACCGACACACACAGCAGCCGAGGCGTCACCTAGCAACGTGCTGCCACCCTCCCACGGCTGCGGCCGGTGACTAACACTGTACAAAGCTTTTGTTTTTAAAACTTTCAAGCGTACAGGAGAAGCGTGGAATGAACCCCAAAACCTTCCAGGTGCATTGGTTTTCAATCTGTTTTCAATATTGCCTATGCCTGCCTCCTCAGACTTCTCCCAGAGGATCCAGACACAGCACACACAGCACACACACAGCACACGCAACAGCACACATGCACACACGCCACACGCACACACCACACATGCACACACAGCACACGCAACAGCACACATCACGCACACCAGCACACATGCACACACATCCCACACGTGCAGACAACACAGCACACACACCACACATGCATACACCACATACACAGTACACATGCACGCAGACATACCACATATGCATACACAACCACACACACCATGTGTGCACATTATCACATGCTTGCAGACATACCGCACATGCACATGCATGCCCCATGCACATATGCATGTGCAAACGTACTGCGCACACATGCTATACATCTCACACACATGCACACAGACATGTCACAAACACGTGCACACAGACGCACAGACGGTCCTGGCTTTTTCTCTCATGCAACCTCCTCCTTGGGGCCGCTGTTCGAGGCGGCCAGCCCCACACCGGGCTGGGAGTGCCGCGTAGTCAGCGGCGGGAGCGTGGTGACCAGGAGTCTGACAGGACGCTCACAGAGGCTCGAGCTCGGCAGAGACCGAGGCAGGCACCCGGGCCTGGCGCACCTGAGGACGCGTGGGAGGACGGGGCGTGCGGCCTTCTGGGTGTGCAGCGCCTCCCTGAGGTTTGGGGGCAGCTCCGCCGCCAGCAGCTGGTTTGTGAGAATCCTCGCCTGCTCCAGCCCCACGATCTCCTGCCTCAGCGTCCAGAAGCGCCTGATCTCCTCGGTGCTGGGCCACTCCTCCGGGGGCTCAGCGGACGGGCGGGGCACGCTCAGGTCCAGCGTCTCCGCAGGCGGGAGGTGGCCCGTGGTGCCCCTGGGCTCTGGCGAGTGGGCGCCTCCTGCGGGCCTGCTCTCCTGGGGCCCGCCCAGCAGCAGAGGCGGCCCGTGGCTCCGCTTTCCCCCTGTCAGGGCCGGAAGGGCTGCGGGAGCAGAGCGAGGCCGTCTCGGCGGGCGGACTCGCGGGTGGCCCCTGCCCACGCGCACAGGCACAGCCACGGCCCGGCCTGGCCCAGCCCGGCCCGGAGCCCCAAAGCCGCTGTTCTGCTCCCTCCCCAGATCTTTCGGTATCTCTCTCTATTAATTTTTAGCCCGCGTGCCTGTTGTTTTTGTCTGGCAATAATTTGTTGACTTTCAAACACTTTTATCTCTAGTTCTAGCTAAGTAATTTGAGAGGTAATTGACCCAAGCTGCATTCATCCACTGTCTGCCAGGTCCCGTTAGGCACTGGGGCAAAAAGCCTTTCTCTAAACACAACGTCTGGGAGGACGGCTCGGAGCAGGAGACAGGTCAATGCCCTGATGTCCAGGGCTGCCATTACTGCGCAGGCCCCGCACGACCCCGGGGCCTGGTCTCCTGCTGGGCCCACAGGCGGCCAAGTGTGACCCGTGCTGGTGCCACATAGGACACGGTACACTGATGCACAGGACACTGTGCTGCCAGTGTGAGACATGCCAGCCTGCTGCACACTCGGGGCGATGTTTTCAGAGAGGAATGGTTTACAAAATGGGAAGCGCCGTCTAAGGGACAGGCGATGCCTGACGGCACGTGGGTTGGGGGCTGCTTCCCCGACGCGTCCCAGCGAACTTCTCGGCAGCCCCACACACGGGCGCCGCACGGAGCCCCGAGGCGCAAGCCCAGGAGAGGAGCTCGCAGGAGCGGACGCAGCTCGCCGACAGTGAGCAGACAGGCTTCCTGGCCCTGGTGCTAGAGGGCGTGAGCCCTGGTCCCCAGGCTGTCTGTCACCGTGAGGATGACTGTCCCACCAACCTGGCGGAGCCGGCTCTCCTGAGGGGGCGCGCTGCACCGCACAGAACCGCAGGAAGGCCAGCACGGCGCCCAGCCCCTGCTGCACCACGGGCGGCGGCGGGAACTCCAGCGGGCAGTGCCTCAGGCTCAACGCGGTCAGCGTGGCCACGCCCCCTGCGGGGAAGAAGCCACCAGCGCGTTACACACTCTGTGTGAATAAAACGGGGAGGAGACGGCAGGGGCTGTTTGCACGTTAGGGAAAAAAACCCCACTGAGGATTCTGAGTATACGGATATGACAGACGTCTGAGATTCGCTTAAAAAACAAAACAAAACCAAAACACGAAACAAAACAAAAAAAAAACCTCTGCAGGGGAAACGAACTCCAAAGAGTCAGACCAGGCTGGATGCAAATAAAATTTAAAAAATAAAGAAATAAAATAAAACAAACAGAAGCAGCAACGACAGTTCTCAGGTAAAAATCATAATGCGAAGCTGCTGTGTTACCTAAAACACCATCATCAACAGCAGCAGCAAACTGCGGGCGCACAGAGGAAAGTAAACGGGACTTACACTCGAAGCAAGAAGAAGACGGACGCGGCCTCCAGACGACCCAGGTGTTGGACGCGGCAGATAAAAACTTAAAGGCCATCGTTACAAACACGCGCAAAGAAATCGTTATGGGAAATATACCAAAACGACTCAACGAATAAAAAATGTCAATAAAATAGAAATTATTAAAAAACCAAAGAGCAGTTCAGCACGGGCCGAATGCAAACCGCACTGCGAGGTGTGGGGGGAGGGCCCGCGCCCGCCGCCCGCCAGCCACGCACGCGAGCAGGCTGCGGTCTTGGTCCTGCCCACGCAGCTACCGACTTTTGAAAAACCAGTGCTCTACGGAGGAGTGTGACAGAACTCAGGACCTCCACAACGTACCCCTCGCAACGCCCAGCACACGATCCAAGGTCACTGGACGTGTGAAGAGGAAAACAGAGCCCATATCCGAAAAAGGCAAGCGACAGGGCCCAACGCCGAGGCCACCCAGATTAGCAGACGAGCACTTGGGCGAGGTGTCATGGGTCGAACGGTGTCTCCTCAGATTCTCACGTTGATTTGATGCCCGGACCCCTAGTGCCTCGTGCTGTGACCGTACTCAGAGACAGGACTTTGGAGAGGCGGTCAAGACGAGGCGGTCAGGCTCAGGCGAGAAGCATCGTCGCACAACAGGACGAGGTGGCAGGGCCGCTCACCGAGCAAAGGCCACGGGAGCACGGCGAGAAGGCGGCCGTCCATAAGCCAGGAGAGGGGCCCCGGCAGCTCCCAACCTGAGACACCTCGACCGTGGGCCTCCAGCCTTCACACGCTGAGGACATTAGTTTCTGTTGCTTCGACTGCTGTCTGTGGTAGCTCGTTATGCAGCCCAAGCGAACACACACAGCTCTTACACGTCCGCCCAAGGGCGTGACGGAAAAGGCGTTTGTACCAAATTAAAAAAAGAACGCGGAGCAGAAAATTAGAGGCTATTTTTTAAAACATGAAAATTCTAAGACCGAAAACAATATCTGGAAAAACATTTACTAGATGATTTTCACAGCCCGTTAGAAATAACAGGAAAAAAGACAC